TTGCATTTATCTTACCAAATGGACATTTTAAAACAAATTTATTGGTTGTAACATTACTATAATACTAATGCTGTCACTTTCGTTTATTATTTAAAATTAATATATTCATTGATTAGGTGTACACTAGCAGAAGTTTAAGTGTAACTCGGATTTCTTTTTGATTTTCTTTTGATTTTGGCGAAACTATAGGCTCATGCTTACTTTGTCATTGGACTTTGTTGCAGAAGTCTCATTTCTTGATCTCAGCAGTTAAGTTTGTTGATATGATGTTATTATAAGACGTTAGCAGCTGTTCTCTTTGATACACCAACAACACATTACAGCTTCACAGGACTGCAACTGTGGTCATTGACTTGTGTTGTTTTAAGTTTCTGTTGGTTTTGTAGAGAGAAGATTCAGCTGCCAGCTGATTGTCCTCGGCTTTGGCCTGCTGTGCAGCGCGCTGGTCACCTTCACCTGTTGTTCACGCCTGACTCGTGAGTATTGCTTCTTGTCAGTGAGTATGTATATTACAAGAAATTAAAAGATAGAAAACATGATTTTTATTTATTTATTTATTTTTAGATTATCTGTTGCAGCGGCAGGGAAACTGAAAAAGCATAAACTGTTGTTTGCAAAAGTTTTTTATTGTTCTTTTTTGTGGGAAGGCAACATCTAATCATCTTGTTTAGAAGAGAAACCATGAAGGTGTGAATCATTCAGTCAAACATTAGGCCTCAGAGTGTCTTTTCTGTAAGAAAAATATCTGCAAGAAATTAGCAGTTGTGTTCATATCAGCTTACATTTAAATATGTCTTTGTAATTAATGACTGTCACTTATTAATTTATTGTCAAAGTATGATTATCGATTCAATTCTATTGTCAAAGATACAATACAATATTACCATTGTCATAGATTTGGAGTTGTACTTGCACTTTCTACCTAAATATGCGCGATTGTTTTACCTCTCAGAGTCCTCTCAGCTATGTCCTCCAGGGTGGACGGAGATCCAATCCAGGTGCTACTTTCTCTCCACTGAGCATAAATCATGGGAGGACAGCAGAAACTACTGTCAGAGTAATGGGGCCGACCTCGTGGTGATCAACAGCGAAGAGGAGCAGGTGCGGTGCAGTTAATCTGCCTCTGTGTGATTCTTCATTTAACTTGTGGCATCACAGTTTTATAAACTGTGATTTCACTTTAACAGAGGGCCATCTATCGCCTGGATGAGGACGGTTGGCTCTTGTTCTGGATTGGTCTCAAAGGCACAAATGGGGCTTTCAGATGGGTGGATGGATCTGCGCTGACCAAACCGTGAGGCTTTTAGAATAACTCTGAATTTCTCTGTCTCACACAGGCAGTTAACATTTTAGATGATCCACCTATAGCAGTAGAATATAGGGTTTAATGTTTAACACTGTGACTGGACATTCTTGTAATATACTGTATATATGTAGTTTTGCTGCTGTAATCAACATT